AAAAAAAAAAAAAAAAGGCCAAACCCAAAAACCAAAACCCCGAAAACCAAAGACTCATGAAGAAGCAATGATAAGAAAAGAGCATAAACATCCCCAAACCCACCACCCTCTGATGAAACAACATCAACATGGGTTGTTCAAAATTTCTCCCTACACTGCTGCTGCTCCTCCTCATCATCCTAATCAATCTATCTAAATCATCATCTCAATCACCGCAAAATATCCAAACTTTTTACCCATTCTCCCCGCCACCACCACCGTCGCCGATTCTCCCTCCACCATCATCACCGCCTCCAAATCCACCCACCGATCGGATACCGGCTGGTACCAATTCCTCTACGAGGGCGGCTGTCGGGCGGGCGATCGGGGTGACCGCCGCCACCACTATAGTCCTGTCGGGACTCCTCTTTTTCCTCCTCCTCCGGCGCTCTCGCCGGAAAAGCTCAGAGGAGGAGGTCGTCACGGACCCGATCAACGCCTTCACGAGGTTCAATGGGAACATAAAGGGGCTGATCGTGGACGAGAACGGGCTCGACGTGCTCTACTGGAGGAACCTGGAGGAGGGAGGAGAAAGCTTCACGAAAAAGTATTACAACGGTGAAGCAGAAGAGGAGGAGGAGGAGGAGCAGGAGAAGAGAATTGTGAGTGGTAGAGAGAGAAAGTATAACAATAAGCCTCCCAAACAGGATGTGCCTTTGCTGAGAGGGAAATCCTCCACTTCACAGAGTCCGATGTGGGATCATGTCATCACCAAACAAGCTAACATGTCCTTCAACGCAATGGAAAGGCAAGGCTCTTCAATTCAACTCACCAAACCACATATACTTTCAGGCAATAGTCTTACGCCACAAACAGCGGTGGAGATGACACCGCCGCCACCACCACCACCACCACCACCTCCACCTCCACCTCCACCTCCACCGCCAATGCCACCACAAATGGCAGTGGAGAGAACAGAAGCACCACCGCTGCCAATGCCTCCACAAATGGCAGTGGATAAAACGGTGGCACCAAAACCTCTGCCGCCAGCACTGCCAAATAAAATCCCTGCCCCACCTAATAAGCGCTCATCCTCCGCCGGTCGTAAAAACGAGCAAGTGAAGCTCAAGCCCTTGCATTGGGACAAGGTGAACCCCAATGCGGTTGACCACTCCATGGTGTGGGACAAAATCGATAAGGGCTCTTTCAAGTAGGTTCCCTTTTTTCACAACTATCTAACTTAACTTTCTCTCTTGTACACACTCAGCCTTATTCACAATAACTAAAAAAATATGCAGATTTGATGGTGACCTAATGGAGGCACTCTTCGGATACGTCGCCACGAACCGGAAATCACCCCAAAGGGACGACCGGTCAGCACCAAGCCCAAGCAATCCTGCAAAGTCGGGGCCTCCCCCACAAATCTTCATCCTCGACAATCGCAAATCCCAAAACACATCCATTGTGCTTAAATCGCTCGGTGTCACACGCAAAGAAATCATTGACGCGTTAATCAACGGGCGAAGCCTTAATCCCGACACAATAGAGAAGCTCACGAAAATAGCACCATCCGATGAAGAGGCATCCCAAATCATGGCCTTCACTGGAGACCCCACAAGATTAGCAGACGCCGAGTCTTTTCTCTATCATTTGCTCAAAAGTGTCCCATCGGCCTTTGCACGTTTCAATGCCATGCTCTTCAGGTCGAACCACGAATCAGAAATAAACTCGGTCAAAGAGTCGCTAAAGTCGCTTGAGCTGGCTTGCGACGAGCTGAGGTCCCGCGGGCTGTTTCTCAAGCTTTTAGAAGCTGTGCTGAAAGCTGGTAACCGGCTTAACGCAGGCACGTCAAGAGGGAACGCGCAGGCTTTCAACCTAACTGCTCTGAGGAAACTGTCGGACGTCAAGAGCTCGGATGGGAAGACCACCCTGCTCGAGTTTGTAGTTCAAGAAGTAGTCCGGGCCGAGGGCAAAAGGTGTGTTCTGAACAAGAGCCGTGGTGGCTCAAGCCGGACGGGCAGCCAGAGGAGCGACTTCTCAGGAAGCCAGAGTCCGGAACAATCCAAGGACGATCGTGAGAGGGAATACATGATGCTCGGACTGCCCGTGATCGGCGGATTGAGCGCAGAGTTCTCGAACGTCAAAAAGGCTGCGGCTTTGGACTACCATCTCCTGGAGAAATCGATAGCCACGTTATCGGAGCAGGTGAATGCGGTGCGGGAACTGGTTTCCCGTTGTGGGGACGGCGGAGGGTTCGTGCGGGAGATGAAGGGGTTTCTGGACACGGCCGAGGTGGAGGTGAAGGTGACGAGGGAAGAGGAAATTAAGGTAATGGAGCTGGTGAGGAAGACGACCGATTATTACCAGGCGGGGGGTTTGGAGGAGAAGGGGGGCAATGGCAAACTCCAGCTGTTCGTTATAGTGAGGGATTTTCTGGGAATGGTGGATAGGGTTTGTATCGAGATCACGAGGAATGTGCAGAGGAGAAAATTGCCGGCGTCGTATGTGGCCGGCGAGTCGTCCTCGCCGGGGTCGCCGAGGGTTTTCAGGTTTCCGAAGTTGCCGGCGAACTTTATGTCGGATAATTCGAAGAGCAGTTCGGGCAATGATTCCGAGGTAAAGTGATGAAATTGAGAGGGACTCCATCTCTGAGGGTTGTACAGTGAAAAGGGGAGGATGTTTGAGATACTGCAATGGCCATGGTTTTTTTTATTTTCAATTTTTTAAATTGTAAGATTCTTGTTTGTCATTAGATTGCAACAGCATACAGAAATGAACAGAATTTTTTCCATCATTTTTTTATTTTTTTATTTTTTATTTTTTTTTTTTTTTCCCGAAACGAAGAAAGAAGAATAACAAAATTAAAACAAACCGCAAAATAGAGTTCAAAGGCCCACGGCCAATACAACAGAACATGTCACTGAAACAGAACTACCAAATTAATCTAACTCAAGAGCTAAACAAAAGAATGAGATCCAAACGAGGTGGTCTAGAGGATGAAGAGGGACTAATGTACTAAGGCCCTTAGTCATACCATTAGACTACACAATAACACAACTAGCTACTGAGAAAGGACCTCCTAGCTAGCTGAAAACATAAAACTCATGAAACAACTAACTAACTAATTATACGGAGAAAAATTTAATTCATTCAGAGTAGGCATCCACCATTACCTTCTCTGGTATCTAATGGTTTTTCAGACCTTTTTCCCTTTCCATAATTACCAAAGGATGTAGGTGGTTAATTGAATCATGCCTTCAGCCGTCTTGTTCATGTGCATTAGACACACTTTTTTCCACCACATTTTGAAGCAGCTTGCATCCTTCAGCAGTCCATTCCATGTTACTAGTGCTATCTTCCACACCTTTTGGGCCTTAGGACAGTTAAAAAGGATATGTTCAGTAGTCTCCTTTGTGTCACCACATACCTTTAAATTTTATCTATTTTCAATTCTCTCTTAAAGAGGTTGTTCTGGGAGGCAGGATTCCTGAGTAGTATTTCCATATGAAGTGTTTGATCTTCTTCTCTATTTTGAGTTTCCAGCTGATACTTCTGACTTTACTGATCCAAGAAGATTGGGAACTTGACTCAAGAAGATATAACCCCCGCATTTTCCTCTCCATAAGGGTTGTGTAAGAAGAAGATACAGAGTATGTGCCCTTCTTATTATAGCTCCAGGTGATTCTACCTTTCTGGCATTTGTTTATTGCAGAGATTTGAGAACTTCAGCATAATCCTCTGGCCTGAAAATTTGACTGAGTAGTTGTGCATCCCAGGAGTCTACATGTGGCAGCATCAGTTCCCAAACCCAAAGTGAGGTTGTAGACAAGGGCTAGATCTCATTGCTTGGCTTATGATTTGAAATTGTTGGGACCCAAGGGTGGTCCCAATTTTGAGTGTCTCTTCCATCCTGTATGATCACTAGCAGGCCATGTTCAAAGATAGAACTAACACTCATCCAACTCCTCCAAGTCATGAACAACTTTCAGGAGGTTTAGTGTCATAAAAAGAGCCATTTGGAAAGTATTTGTTTATAAGGATTCTGCTTATTAGTAAATGGGGTTTAGTATGAATTCTCTAAAGTTGCTTAAGGATAAGAGATTCATTAAACAACTTAAGATTTGAGAAGCCTAGGCTCCCCATCTCAGTGGGAGTGGTTAAATGGTTCCACTATTTTCAGTGTAACCCTCTATCCTGGCTCCTATTTTTGGACCACCAGAATTTGGAAAAAAGACTAGCGATTTCAGCACAAAGAGTGGAGGGTAGAAGAAAGCATGACATCACAAATGTGGGTAGGGCACTTAGGACAACCTTTAAGAGGACTTACTTGCCAGCAGATGAGAGAAATTTGCTCTTCCAATTTAGAATTCTGGTTTAACAGTCTCAACCACAAAATTAAAGGTGTCTTTTTTTAGTGGCCAATGCCAAGAGGTAGGCCTAGATATTTGGTGGAATATTGGATTTTGATACCATTGAAGAGGTAGCAGATGGTATTTTTTACTGAGAGTAGATTGTTTATACTAAATAAGATGGATGATTTAGCAAGGTTAATTCTCTGGCCAGAACAAAGTTGATATGTATGAAGGATGTTTAGGATTTCAAGTGCTTGATGTGGTGAGGCTTGGCAAAATAAGCAGCGTATCATCTACAAAAAATAATTGAGAGATATGGGGGCTAGACCTGGATAATTTTAAACCTGTAAGAGAGCCATTATGGATTGAACTATGCAAAAGGCAAGATAGGAGCTCAGATAGAATAATGAAAAGGTAGGGAGAAATTGGATCTCTCTGTCTTAATCCTTTGGTAGGAGAGACAAAACCATACTTTTGGCCATTTTTATTAAAATAAAAGTTGGAGGATGAAATACAAGCCATGATCCAATTTATAAATTACATATGGAAACCCATTTTTCTCATGTGCAGTGCCATTCAATTCTATCAAAGGCTTTTTTTCATGTCAATTTTAATAGCCATAAAGTATCTAGAGCCTGATCTATGCCTATTTAGGTAATGTATGGCTTCCTGAGCAATGACAACTTTATCTAAGACTTGCCTATTCTGAATAAAGGTTTGTCTGATTCTCAATTATGCAATCAAGAACACATAACTTTAATCGGGAAGCAAGAATATTTGAGATGATTTTGTAAGCCACACAACACAGACTAATAAAACAACAATGCTCAACTTTAGAAGGATTATGAGTTTTAGGAACAAGGGTTATCAAGGTGTGGTTCCAAGGTTTAGACATAAACCCGACATTAAAAAAAAAATAAAAATAGGATTACAGAGGTCAACTTTAACAATGCCCTAGTGTTTCTGAAAGAAAAGGAAGTCATAACATCGTGGCCTGAAGCTTTGTTAGGGTTCATGCTGTTGAGAACTCTTTTGATTTCCTCTTCAGTCATTGTAGTCAGGAGTCTTAAATTCATTGCTTGGGTAATTATGGAAGGATGAATGCAATCCAGAGTGTAGTCCTCAGCATCATGTTTAGTGTGCTCAGACGAAAAGAGGTTCAAGTATAAGTCTGATATGCAACTTTCAATTTCAACATTTAAGGTACAGATAGAGTTGTCCTCCTTAAGAAGTTGAGTACTGCCATTGGATATCCTTCTTTGAGTAGTGAAGGCATGGAAAAATCGGGTGTTTTTTTACGCTCTTTTAGCCACTGCAATCTTGACTTTTGGCACCAGTAACTTTCTTCAGACTTGTTGATGAGGTCTATTTTGCATTTAAGAGTGTTCCACAAACCCCAGCCTCTGTGTTCCCAAGTGATCTTAATTCTTCCACAAAAGAAGAGGATCCTCTTTCTTGAGAGGAGGGTTTCAGAAGGGACCTTGTGTGCATTCCAGGAGGTGATGCGCCGGTCGATAAGGGGTTGCGATGAGGAGTTAGGGTCTCAAATGAAAGGGCCTCAAGATATGAGGTTGAGTCCCACGAGAAAAGGGTATTGGGTCAAACAAAAATAAAATTTTGCTTCCATTTGGGGACGAGGAATGGATATCAGAAAAAGAGTAGGCTTTATTTCAACGCTGGAGGTAGAGCTCCCACTTCTGGCCTTTAGCTATAAAAGAATAAAATAAACAGTCGAGGTCAATTCGACCTAGACAAACAAAAGAAAGAATAATAAATGTGGTTAAGTGACTAATTGAATTGGGAGGGAGTTGGTTGAGTGGTTGACTAAAAGTACCACAAATTTCAAGAAGAGCGGGGCAAGAGGAGAAAACAGAGTCCTAGTTGGATTTGACTTTGAAAAAAAGTATAGTACCCCTTGGGGGGATGGTCGTATGTGTCATCAGGTCGGGGGGAGAGAAAGGCCCAGTTGTAGGTCGACCAGTGATGTCGAGGTACTCTTAAACCCACCCAGTGCAACCAAGGCGAGTGCGGATTAGATTGACCTGCGAGGGAGAAACATGTGAAGAAAGTTGGGGGTTGGAAGAAGGCCCCGTTTGAGGAGGTGGTGTTGAGGTCGAAAGAGGATGAGCAAAAGACGGGAGAAAGTTGGAGGACCTCGTTGTCCTCATCTTTTTCCCAGGCTCATCGAGTGACCGAGAGATTGACGAGGGCGGTGGGCAGGAGGAGCCTGGGTCGGCGAGGCCTGTGGTGACTGAACTAAAACCGCAAGAACGGAATCGGTTGGAGAACTTCTTCAACGGAATAGGTCGGAGAAGGAGAATAAATTAGGTCGAGGAGTCGAGGAGTCGAGGAAGAAGACGGAGGGGTCATATCCTTGTCGGAGAAGCGATCGGCTTCACTGAAAGTATGAGAATCTATTAAAAAATCAAGGAAAAGAAAGATTTGCATGTATTTGCGAAGAAGAGGAGGGGGAGGAAAGATGTGGAGGTCTGCAAATTTAGAAGGTAAAAAAAAGAAAAAAAAAACAAAGCGAACTTATAAAGTCAAAGGACGAGGCACTTACTCATTTTCGACGACGGAGGAGAATGATCTGAAGATCTGTAGAGATGATGAGCCGCGGTGAAGCACGGCGAATTGGCGATGTACTCTGGAAATTCAATGACTAAGAGAGATATATTACTGAGCGACATTGCAAAAGTGAAAAAACAAAAAAAAATCCAGGGTTAAGGATATTTATAGAGGGAGAAGGGCGATGGTCGATCGACCCTGGCCGTCGAATCACAATTAATCCAATTATCAGGATGGAGCGGGAAAGTTGAAGAGGCGGTGTGAGTAGAGTCGTTGGATCTCGACGAGAATAAAGCGTTGAGATCGTAGGAGGACATAGTTGAGGAGATAAGTCTTGGAAGTCATTAGATCAAAGTCCATATTAATGGCTAAGATTTAATGGCCCATTTGGAAAGACAACGTGAATTCAACCGTTGGATTAAAGGTGGATCCAACAGACGACATTAATGAGGCATTTAATGGATACGTCATATGAGGCATTGTGATTCCCGGGGCGGTGACATCAGTCATACGTTCTGATTGACGGGATCTGATAAGGTGGCAGGGATTCAAAGTTTGAAATTCGAATTAAGGACCATAGAGAGGTCGAAAAAGACATGGCATAATTGAAAGAAATGCATACAGATAGGTCGAAAACCAAACAACTGGAATTCATTAACCAAAATCAATGACAAATCTACTCTTAGATCGAGTTATCTTCACTCGACCAGAGTGAGGGCACCAAATGATATGAGATACCATACCTGGAAGAGCAAACCTAGTAAATCTGCCGACTAGGCCGAACGAACCGGATGGTCGAACAGAGCATATGAGGGTCGAATGGAGGTCCAAAGCTAGTATGAAGCAAGGAGTATTCAGGTCGAAGAAGAGGTGAGGGGTTCATATGAAATAAATATTCATGTTATGAATTGAATATGCAATCTTTATGAACTAAATATGCATCAATAATATAAGTAATATCAACTAAGTATGCACTGCTTATGAACTACGTATGAACTAAATGATTATTTTGCATGAAATAAATTGCAGCGAAAATATGCAATTAAATGTGTATTTTATATAATTAATATATACATATAAATATTATTATTTTTCATTATATAATTAATGTAAATTTTAATTGATTAATATGAATCATTGATCTACACAAATAAATATCTATGATTAGTTCTAATATGAACTAAATATGTATTTTGATCATCTAAATATGCATAATGAGTGTGGTACACAAAAGACCTTCGACTGACTGAAAATCGACCCTCCTCGCCGGTTGAACACCTTTAAACCTCCTAAAGTTCTCACATCATAGGGTTTTTCCGGTGAAGTGTCTTCGATGCTTAAGTTAGCACTTGTATAAGATGAATTGCAGTATATGTGTAGAGAATAATGGAGAATGTAATGTGATAATGGGAATATCTTATTCCCTTATATAGGGAAGTGATACCTTGTTGCCCAAGACTGTCCAAGTGTGCTGCCCGAGCTGCACAATTTTGTTAGGCCACGTGGCCCTATCCACGTGTGACTCTTACACTTTTAAGATTCCTTCTTATTCCTTAGTCATTCGTATTAGACTGCCTAATTGTGTGACCAATTCGAATACCGTCTGAGGTAAAATGCTGCATGTACCGAGCCTAAGTGTTATCCTTTGGGTCGATCACTTGACCAACCATAATTTCAGGTCGAGTTTCCAGTAGGCCATCCAAGGGCCCTAGCTCGACTTGTTTCTGGGAATGCATATCCACTTCATACATAATGCATACCACAGTCAATTGTCAATGTCAGAGTCAACCCTATAAGTCATCGGTCCACGCCGAAAGTCAATAGTTGAACTCAACAACAATCAACACCAAAGTCAACAATCAATGGTCAAAATATACTTAAATAATTAAAATAAAATATAAAAAATTAAATCTTGATAACATGTCATGATTCTATTTAATGACTAAGATCGAATATCACACTCATTTGAATCACATTAAGAAAAGATAAAAAAAAAATTGACCGGATCAACTTGGTAAATGCCCAAGTCGACAGGGTCACTCCTAATTAGACCGATTCGCCTGTTGCCCGTCCGAATGACCCAGCTCAGACCAAACCCAGTTATAGTCGACCTGTTGAGCCGATTCGGGTTTCAAAATACTCGATCCAACACAAGATAAGTCATGTGAGAACTCATTGCTTCCAAATATAAAATTTCAGAACTAATGTCCCAGCAATACATCAGTTTTTCATCACAAACTCTTTCAACTAACATACTGGAAATTGGACGCAGCAAGGAAACTCACTCAACAGTTAAACACAATGCAGTAATCCACAAAACATGAGAAAAAAAAGGACACGAAACATTTTACATACTATTGGTCTTAATTACAGCAAAGGAAAGGAGAAAAGGCCAAAAAAAAAAAGTTCCCCCATTTTACTTGTACAACAATAACTAAGCTCATTCAAATCCAATGGGGGGCTAAAATACCTCGTCTTCACTCTTTATTTCAGATTGAAACCAAAGGGTCTTTTAGATTAAAGTCAGAGAAAAAAGTAAATGTAGTCTACTTCTCACTAGTAAACGACTCAAATCCCTTCACCTGCATGTCAGATAAAACGATTTATGCATCACAGCAATACCTTACCGAATAATATACGATTGCTGAGAGCTGTGTGTGTATGATCAAGCAAAGACTGCAAAAACTACCTCCTCAGCTGATGAAAAGAAAAGAAAAGAAAAATTATTGACTTCAACTAAATAGCAACTTGCGACGTTTGATGGGCTGCGAGTTGCCATTGGAAGTGCCATGCGGCTGTAATTGATACAAATCCCGCCTTCTTGCTTTCTTCCGGTACAACAAGTCTTCTGTTCCCAAAACATACGCAACCTGAGACATTCCAAGAGTAAAACCGAAAAAAGGCACAAATGTTAGTTACATTAAGGTTAATTACAATACCCTTAAAGTTTTAGCCTATCTATAAATTATCTCCAATTTACAAATATCTCCTTGGTATATGCTCGTTTTTCTTCACATTGCACACCGGATAGGGATAGGGATAGGGATAGGGATAGGGATATTTGACGTGTAGAAAGAGATTTATTGTTATTGTTTTGTTTTTCATAATTAAGTCGAGTTCATGAGTTTTTTCATAATCATCACGCTGTAAATACGCTCGGTATATAAAACTTAAAGTCAACAGAGTTCAGCAGAATTTACCTTCTTTGTGACACTGTTCACTTTCATTTCCACACCATTGTAAACTACAAGTCCTTCCATGGCTTTCTCAAAATCAGAAATTTCATCTCCATTATAGAGTTTCATTTTGTTCCTGAAAATCGAGCCATAATTATGAACATATATACATATCACACATCAAATAGTTTAGCGCCACTTAATTTGGTCACGTAGATACCTTTTCAAGTACACCCCAGGTTTTCCCATTCTTTCCGGGACAACCATGAGTAGTTCATTGTTCAAATAAGCTGCAAATTCAGGGTCCATGGAGACGGCTATTGGTTCAAACTTATCACTTTCGTTTCTCATCAGTTGAATAGTCAGACGCGTTGGACAAGGCAACTGCAATAATAATAGTTCACGCTCATATGTTAGGGCATATACACTGTATTCTATGCCAAAAAGTTATAACCTCCCAATGATGAAAAAAAAATGTATAGAAAGAAAAACCTACACATTCTATTCGGTACAAGTTGTCATCGGGAAGAAGAAAACGGGCGTTCACATGGTAAACTTCATCAGAAAATATCTTAGTATTTCTAGATCTTTCATATGAGTAGAGTTGGAGGAGTTTGTTATCAATCTCTTCTGATGCAATAGTTTGTAGCTGGTGGAAATAACGAGTAGATAAATCAGTCAAACACAAACTCCAGGAAAAAAAAAAAAATTGAAAAAGTACTCGAAGAAGAAAACAGACAATAAAAAATAATGCATTGACCTGTTTGACAAGTTTATGAATCAGCTTGTCCAATGTGAAAAGGACATAAGACTGAGCGCCAATTATGGCTCGGCACTCATCCTCAAACTTAGCATTATCAAAGGACCCATTCAGCAGACTGCGAAGAGCATTCTTAAAGCTGTTCCAAAATGACATGTTGTTTTCAAGTTAATCATTATTGTTTATGCGAACCGAAAATAATACCTTAAAAACCAGGGCATCTAGATAAATTACCCTGCGTATGTATCTGTTGGATTAGCACCATTTGAAATTCTCCATCTGTTTTCAGATGATGAGGAATGCAACTTTGCACTCATCATTCTGTCATATAACTTCTGTCAAATAAGAACAGTGAGCTAAGACAGGGAATTAATGAGCCAATTACAGAAAATATGATTCAAGTTCTGAAAAAAGACACAATATAAAAATGCCCGAGCCATCTTTTGAAATTTACAACGAAGTCCCTTGATTCTCTTTTCAGTTGAACATATCACATTTGCAATATGGATGTTAAGAAAATAAAATCCTAAAAGGGGCGTTTGAAATACCTTAAGCGGGGAAGTTTCGTAATTTGAAATAATTGAGTTGCCTTCTCCCTATGCCAAATTACAGTAGAGCTTTTGCAATGATGCATAGAATTGAAGTTAGTCCTATAATTTTCAGACGGCAGCAAAATAGTTCCAGAAAATATATAAACTGCCTACAAAGTCCTGTAACTACATAAACATCTAAAGATCTTTTGCCCAGTAAAATGCACAATTTGCAAGGCAGTCCTATTAATGACAGGAAACCCTCAAACGGTATTGGCACGCATGTCCAATTCCCAATAGGCGGTCTCTCATCAAATTATGATAATAATTAAAATTTGGACAGTTACAGGACTCCAAACAAACTGTGCCATCCTAAAATCAAAGCAACAAAATGTCCAAAGTTGGCACACCAATAATTCCAATCACATACACCAGGCTATTACCCAAACAATAAACCACCTTCGACCCAAAATTAATAAGAACAATCATAATTTTTTTTTAAAAAAAAGAACAATTCATTGCTCACACTGACCTGGTGAAGCCGGAAGAGCAGATAGAAAGAGTCATTCCCATAGAACAGCCCGCGACACTCCACCCCTCCACGCGACCCCTTTGGGAGTCTGACCGCCAAGGGCGCTGCTGCCCCGAGAAAACGATCAGCAAGTTTCACCGCCCCTTCGACCTCGACTTCACTCTCATCATCATTGGCGTCAGGCGAGCACTCATCCCCATTGGCCGAATCGCTTCCGGAGACATCGTCCGCATTTTCGGACGCAACATTCTCGCTGTCCGACAAGGCCCGTGGACTCTCCTCACATTCTTCATCAGCAACAGCAATTGTTTCCTCTTTGGTACCATTATCTGCAGGTAATGGGAAATTGACCTCCTCGGGATTTGGATTTGGGGACAATTCGCCCTCTTCCCGCTCGGTTTTGGTGCAGTCTTCGGATTCTTCATGGTGTTTCTTGATACCTTCCTGCAATGAATAACAGGGATTGCAAGAAAGGGGTGACCGTCTTTGCAAATATAATCTCACATCAAATGGAAGGACGTGTATATAGACGTGTGTGTGCGTGTGTGTGTGCATGTGATCACCACCAGAAAAGGACAGGCCGGACAAGGCAAATGAAACAAACGCGATGCTCGAGAACATGCGACTGTTAGTGAATCTCATGTTGTCAACAAGTCAATATTACAAAAGATACTCCTGACATACCAGGGGGCCAGGACCAGGTGTTGGTAAAATGCCGCAAGCAGCAACAGCATAATCAGGTCCTGATAGAGGAGCAATAGATCGTGATATAAAGAGAACTAAGGTGAAGTAAAAAAGTAAACTATGAGGAAATAGCTAGATACGAAGTTAAACAAAGAGTTAGCTACAAAACCACGCCCGTTCAAAAAAAAAAAAAATCAGGTTAATCACGGAAAGACCTCTCTTTCAAATATTACTTTGTAAATATCAATTTTATAGGGGTGTTTTTAACACTTTTAAGGATATTTGTAACCTTGGCAGATAATAGGAGTTTTTGGTATTTTTAATAAACAGTACTCTTTTTTCTTTTAAAAATTTTCCAATAACAAAATACGGAGTTACCCTTCAATGCAACCGAAAGATCTTCCTCCTTGATGTCCTTCACTCCCAAAGAAATTGAAGTTCCTTCATCTAAGAAACTGGCTTGTTTGCTAGCAGACATCATTTTGGCATCAATCTGCATTTTTCCATCTTCGAGAGCATCATATAACACAGCACCCATGTTACCGAAATTATCAACACCAGGAGATCCATCAGCAGGGTTATTATTTACTTCACCAATATTTTCCACACTTTTTTCCACAAGACAATTTTCCTTATCAGCGACTTCTTTGTCCTCAGTGGAGGAAGAATGTGAAGGAACACCCATCACTTGCTCGAGGAAAGTTGTCCACACCTTCATGACCTTGTCCCGCTGTTCGGGGGCGCAAAGTTCTCCGCATGAATATTTCATCAAGTGATGAAGATCTTCTTGGATTTCCGGATCAGGATATTCGAATACCATATCGGGTTTAATTGGCTGTTTATAACCAGCAGCAATCGAGGCAAGGAGGCTTTCATCTTCATTCTGATTCCTATCCCCCATTTCTTTTATCTCAGCGAGCAATGCTGAAACAATGAAATCGTAACAGAAAATACACGATCAGTGGGACTTTCTTTTCGTATGGACAGTATGGGAAACCAAGCCTGATGTATTTATGTATATGTTAGACACAAACTGTTCTCCTGTTGGGGAGATTTACAAATTTGGACCAACACAACAGCGCTTTAATGAATTGGATTTAGGATGTCATAAACCAAAACGACAGCTAAGATGGTACAAAATCTATAATGATATAGAAGTAATTTAATAGGCCTACAAAAAATTTACTTTTATGCGGACACGTGTCAAACTATAAATAACATTCCAGTCATAATGAATTTCAATAGATAAACATAATTGTGAATGTTGTAAAAAAACAACAACAATATCAGTAGCTTTATATACGAAAGCGCCAAGGATTGCAAATTGGAATGTGGGCAAATATGAAGAGAAAATACAACAATTAGAGAAATAACAATAGCTAGACTGAAAGAGAAATACTAAATGAAGTTCTATTTCCTACATGTTGAAAGCAACTTCTTGATTCAAAATATTATATATATGTAAACATTTTAAAAATTTTCAAGCAAGGATCACAATCATTAACAAATGCAAGTATGCAACTCAATCCAATCATTCAAAAGTCGTTTAAAAATAAGTTCTACCAGGGTCTAATCAAAATATCAGTAGACTTTTTCACATCCATGAGTCGCATCATAGCATACATGCGAATACATGCCTAACGAGCATTTCTGATTAAATATCTAAGTTAAGAAGGAAGGGGGGGGGGAATGAGTGCAAGACTAATCCACATCATGATTTTAAAATGCATGCATGATTACAATTGCAATATTCATCTCCCTTCGATCGATCTAGCTACTACATAACTCCTTTCCGTACTTCCGGTCATTTTACTGAAAGCTGATCGAAAGAGAAGGGGAAAAGGGGCAGGAAAAGAAAAGCGAAATTAAAGAAAAAACCACACAAAGAAAAGAAAAAAAAAAGCGTTTCATTAAAAAAAATATACTTTTGGAGTAATAAAAACTCGTGTAATATAAAATTTCCAAAAGCTACACAAAATTTATGGTCGAAATAATACTTTACTTTTGATTAGTGTGACTGTCTAAACTCTGAACAAAAAGTTATTACTAAATTATTATCGTAGAAAATCAAATAGGAAATAATCATCCCCCAAAAGAAGCAACATTATAGTAAATTTCTTTCCATCCAAGTAATTTAATTCAGTGATAGCGATTAAATTTTAGAAAAGAAAATCCTTCAACTAATAATGTGGAAAAGGTAAAATTAAAAGAAAATGTTGCATGATTCGCGACTATTAAATCCAAAACAGGGAACGACTGGAAGATTAAATGTACCATAGATACCTGAATCACAGAAATTAGTGCTGAGGAATGTTGTTGCCATGAAACAATGGCAGAAGGTAGGATAAGAAGAAGATTGAAAGATATGCTAGAGAAGTAGAGGGTGGTTGAAGAATAATGAAGCGATGAAAACAAGGACCGAAGGTGAAATTTATAGAACAAAGTTACAGAAAGCGACGAACTAAAATATAATGTAACTGCAACCCAAAAAGATGAAATATAATTAATATCTAAAGGACAAAAAGGGAAGAAAAGTGAAAACATATTCGAGTTGGCTATGTCATGGAGAAGCGAGTCGCGCTAATATCCTCACCAAAAATATTTTCACCAACAATGGACACTTAACTCCTTTAAACACAAAACACAAACCCGGTAAGTCTGGCCGAATTTCAGACTGATGGAGAATTGACTCCAACAACATCAACAAAAAAATAAATAAATAAAAATAAACTCACACGATATTAGATTGATGAATATGCTCAAAGGATGCCAGAAATTTCAAAACTTTTTAAACTACGAAATAGAATTTCAAAAGGAAACAAAAAATGTCCCAGTTACGCACACCCACAGAAAGCAACGCATTCTTATAGGTTGCATAAAAAGCACGCACAAAGGACAATTTGCATAAAATGCTGCCAACTTTCTAAAGCAACATACTCTAAACTGAAAAAGGAAATCTTCATTCACCAATTTTATATGCCATTCATGGAGACACAAATTTACACATCATTATATTGGTCTCGTATAGTATCAATTTTCCCGACTAAGTAGGTTTCCAGGTTCAGTCAAAGGGGGCAGCATATTGCACAAATTAAGTTAATCGTAGGGCGGGTTAGTCCCGAGTCCATGTAACAAATTCCATGCCTAAGCTCAGTATGCAACCAATCTTACAAAGAGAAATGTCTTGTGTGTTCCCTGCATGATAACTTATCCCATAAGCTTCACCATCGACAAACACTAAACTTCCAGCTAGCACAATGGACAAGCTGGTAAAAGTGAATTTGACCAAATTTACAGCCGATAAACAATAATTTCTTAGAAATAACAAGGATTCAAAATCTACAAATGAGATACACGTAAATGACGCCACACAAAACAATTATAAGTCCTTAAAGACACAGAACATCTTGCAAGCATAAACCACACATAGAAAGACTGTCATTCCTAATATTAGTAAGGGAAAAGCATGTAGAGATTTCAATCTGCACATGACGCTGCCTAACATAAATCAGTATATGATTACATTCAAAAGATAAAGTACATGCAATTTTCTGCGCCATGCATAGACTACATACATTGAAAAAACAATCTTCAGTATTGCAATCTCTTATTCCAGTCACTGTGAAAGGTCCTCTTCGTTCAAGAGGCAGAGAGTTTAGAAGACTCTCAGTTCTTAGTGTTGTGGTTCACATTGATTACATTAGTCATAACTATTCAACAGTTCGAGAATGTTAAAAGCATACCAAATACATTGGCACAGGAACCATGTTAAACATGATCAGCCAAATTACCTTTAGCGCTCAAGTTCTTTGTATCCTGCTGCTTAAAATAGAAGCTCCTATGATCGAGTGATTTATGATAGTTCTTAGCATAAATATCAGCCCAAACTTTATTAAAATCAGCACGACACCTTGCCCATTCTTCCTGCTTCTGCTTCAACCTAGTTAAAATGACTGGTAGGGCTAGAGGTGCATTCTTCCTCAATACATCCATCACATCAAGCCCATGGTCACCATATAAACGCTCAATACATCGTAAGCTAAGGGCTGCAAGAAATTAAGAATAAAAAAAATACGCTATTAACTAGAAAGCAGGATATATACAATGAGGAATCATCAGAAACACAGTATACCTGACAAACATTCTTCAATATTAAAACTGTCTGCCTTAGTAGTATGAGCATTCATTCTGTCTAACAGTTCTTCAACATGCTTCACTGTCGCATTCACAGATTCCAACAGCATGTCAAGTTCAAACCTGAAATTATAATCAGATCATTGATTGACAATTCTACTGTATAGAAATACCATATATACCACCATTTAGTATCCACTTATTGGGGGGAAAAAGAAAATGGAGGAAAGAAGCTCCTTTGCAACCTACTGACTAACCATGGGGAAATTAATATTTAATGATAAGTCGTCAAAGTAAGTATCAAATGACGAAGTTTAATAACTTACCCTAAAGATGCTAGAAACAACACACACAAGAGAAAGGTAAAAAATAGATGAGAGCCCATTCAAAAAAAATATTAAGTCAATGAAGAGAAATTCTTAAAAGCGGTCCGAGACTTTACCGGTCATCCTCACACCGAAACAGACTTTCTTCATATTGATTTTTGCGCATGTGTTTGAATGAGTAATCCTCACTTCCTGAAGTTACCGACACCCAACGATCATTCAGCACTTGGTTGCCAATCTCTGTTCTACAGCTTGCTGATGGGATCGGATACTGAATATAACATTGAAAACTGGAGTTAGTTAAATGATTATTAATTTTAGTTTATTGAAAGTTAAATAAGTGCACCTACATTTTCTGGTAGAAGCCGATAACTTGGAGTGCAGCTCTCGCGGTCCGAGAGATCAAGTTCATGAATGGGTTTCGCCATAGACTTATCTTTGCTTGCATATGAAATCTTCTGTCCTGAGAGATCCCTAGAGTTAAAGGCAAGACCTCTATCATGCCTATCCCTTTCTCTGTTATCATTGTCTTTAGTTTTATCTTTGTCTTCCCTGTCATGGTCATCTTCATCTTCATTTACCTTTAATGATCTGAAAACTTGTTTATTGGTCCGCATGCTACCTGAATGAAATAAATTAAGCATAAGAGAGAACTATGCGCATTCTAAATGACGATTCTTTTATAATACTCTCCATAAAAAAAGATGGAAAAAAATTCTCATGCTTGAAAATACTTGAGAAGTTAACAAAATTCAACAATGGTAACTTGAATAGCTAGTTGGCAAAGCAAGTATATCGATACGAGTATGAAGCACTAAAATAAGCTACTATGACATCTAGTTACCAGACTTCTCGATGTATGTTATGAAATCTTCACATGCCTCCATAAGGTCTGGATGTTCTCCAATTAAACTAGCCACCTGAAAAAATAAAATTCAGCATCCAAATTAGATGCTCTTCCAAAAGACTGGTATATGAAAACAAAAGGGCATACTAACTGGCCGGAACATTTTCCAAACCTTATCTTGACTTACAGTAACAAAGACCTCATTCCGAAATTCTGAATGAGAGGTCAAGTTCATAGGTTTTAGGTTTTCGCCATCAGTACTAACTACTAAGTACGAAGAATTCCCATTTTATGGGAATTCGACTATGGACCATTAGAGATGTATGGAAATGATCATTAAGCAATAATAAGAAGCATAACATAACCCTGATGATGAGGGGAAACAGAATGTCATTATCATGATAGGTTATTATGAACCATGCATTCGATAAAGTTAAAACTTTCTAGTACATGTAACACGCACGACGTTATTTATCATGGATTTTGACTTAATACTTGAAAAGCATAACCCCCTCTTTTATCAATTATTGCATCGATAGACTTCAGTGAATACTGTTTTATAGCTAACATATCACAAATTTTATAGAGTAATTCCAGAAATGCCAGTGTTCTCACAAGACAACAGATGTGTCAGGGGTTCATGATAAACTGACATATTTCCAAGTTTTCTTATGAACATACTAAATTTTTGCAGTATGTCTTCAACACTAACACTATAAGATAATTTTTGATAAGGAGACTCATTTTCATTATTCAATGATATGCTTGGATTTGATCCCATATTGAGATTTTCTTGACTATAAAACATTTTGCAATTGTTTAGAAAATATTGCAGCAATTATACTATTGATTGACCTTTAGTTTTTTTCTATAACAAATTACTCCGACTCATTTTTAAAATAATATCATTCCAGTGGAATCTTTGTTATACATTTGCCATAACTTTCACTATTCACTTACTCACATAACTCTAACAACCAGTTAGTATATATATCACATCAACTTTGATCATGACGCTGCAGTCTCATATCCATATACACTTAAAATTTCCCATTTTGCTTTGAAAGAGTTTTTCAACACTATTATCTTTCCAAATGAAAATTTTTAAAACTACATGGTATCCAAACGCACCCTAAGTGTCTGGATATTTGACCATTCTCAATGCTTTTCATATGGAAACAGGCTATGTGAAAAAGACTTCGAGGTACGAAAAGCCAAGAGCAAAAGTTCATTCACTATTGTTTCAAAGAGAGAGACTTCTGAAAACAACGGCATAGTCTAGAAAAATAATTTTTACATGCATAAGTGATAGAAGCAAATGGGTAACCTTTGATAAAGAAAAATATAAGAATGACCACGTAGCACGGAAGTGGTAATACCAATATATAAAATTACCCAAGTAAGGCGATGGGACAAGGGTATAAAATTAATTCAACAAAAGCAGAATTTATAAGGTGGAAACAAAGGAACAGATTTCAAGATAATCTGAGAAAAGGGTTACCAGCTTTCGAAACTCAGCGGCTGGGACAAACTTGCTTTTAAACGAACAGATGCAATCTGAAACTTTTTCGTAATTTTCAGCTGCCTGTAACCGTTCCTTCACTTTCTCACGGAAAGTGGACTCCATCTCCTCCATCCCTGGGAAAAAAAAAAA